TTTCAATCATTCGAAAACTACTAGGCTAATTAGATAGCGAAACGTTATTATGTCCATTAGTGGGGAGTATGTATCATCATAGTCAATTCCCGGGCGTTGTAAGAACCCTTGTGCCACAAGGCGAGCCTTATATCTTATGACTTCATTATTCTCATTACGCTTTCTGACAGATACCCATTTATGTCCTACATGCTTTACACTTGGTGGGGTTAGCACTACCGGACCAAATACCTGTCTCTTTGCCAAAGAATCTAGTTCTGACTGGATTGCTTCTTTCCATTTAGGCCAGTCTGCTCTTTGTTGACACTTTTCAACTTAGCGTGGTTCGGTGTCATCGTGCTCTATGATCTCATGAGCAACAATATATGCAAATATATCATCAATGAGTATGGATGATCTTTCCATCAACTCATGGGCATTCTCATAATTCATTGAGATTTTTTTGTTCTCTGGAATCAATATTGACTTTGGAGCGTCCTCCAGTAATGATTCATAGACATAACTATAATCAGAGACAATCTCATAAGAAGGGTTTTCAATATAATTGATGATAAGTGGATCAGAATGTGCCTTACTCTCCTTTTACTTTCTTGAATGAGTATCTATCGAAACCAAGTGGCCTCCCCCTTTTCCTTTTGGGAGCCATGGCCTTAACCGCATTTCCACTATGTGTAGTTGCAACACTCTTTCCGACAGTGTTGTGCCCCTGTTTGGGGACTTCTAACCTTGCGGGTACATTTGCAACCGGTATATGTGATCTTGTCACTTTTGTAATATCAGTGAACGCATCAGGTATCGAGTCTGCTATGCTTTGAAGATTTAGTATTTGTTTCACTTCACTTTCACATTGTGAAGTGCGGGGATCAAAATGAGACAGAGTGGGAACATTCCATGACAATTCTTGTCGTTCCCGTGGAAAATCCTTTTTCCTAGCTCCCCCTAACGACGGGAAGACTGCCTCATCAAAGTGACAATCCGCAAATCTTGCAGTAAATGGATCAACCGACAAGGGTTCTATATAGGGGATTATTGTTGGGGATTCATATCCAACATATATACTTAATCGTCTTTGGGGACCCATTTTGGTGTGCTATGGGGGCACAATTAGCACATATACTGCACAACCAAATATGCGTAAATGTGAAATGTCAGGCTCATATCCAGTTACCACCTGGTATACATAAAATGGTTGGCTAGCAGTGGGTCTAAAACGTATAAGTAGTGCTGCACGTAGTATTGCGTATCCCTAGGCAGAAGTAGGTAAATTGGTGCGCATAACCAATGCCCTATCTATCATCTGTATCATTTTGATGGTAGCTTCTGCAGACCATTTTGTGTATGCACATGGGTTATGGGATGTTCTACATCAATCCCAACAATTATAGATAGCAATCAGAAGTCCATAATTATAGAAATTATATTAGTCTGATTGAAATTAAATGACATTAAATCAAAACCAAATTCTTTTTCGATACAAACCAAGAATAAATTAATTTAACAACCTAATTAATAATATGATAAATATTTTCATAATTCAAAGAAAACAATGTATTTGGACGACTAATGCTAATCATACATATATAGTCAAATAACATTAGGTTATTGCACAAAATACACGAAAACAAACTTCATTTATGAAAATACTGATTAATCAAAATATGCACACATTAAAAAAAATTACTGATATTTTCTAAAGATCGTTATAGTACCATGAGTTAAAATAAAACAAATATAATTTTTTTTTCTCATACAATAACAAAGCAAAAATATATAATTAACAACTTATTAACAGGAAACGATAATGTAATATTCTATGTACATCTTTTCCTTATATTTAAATCATATAGATCAGTTACAATTTTCTATTTTAATGTGGAGATAATATCATTTTTATTGGAAATCTTGTATATATTCTTAACATAAAGGATTACGAATTGATCTATAAATCAAAACTTATAACGTAATTAAAAAAACAATATTGTAGGTGAAAAAACATACATAATGCATGAGAATTATCAATCAATCTTTGTTAAGTGAATTACCGGTTTCAAAGCACAAAATGTATTATTCACGTTAAAAAAAAATATTATATAGGATCTGCAATTTTTTTTATTACAATGTGTATATAGTGCAAAGGAATGATATTACACAAAACATACATATGCACAATGATGCATAATTTAATATACATTAGCAGTATATTATTCAAATGAAAGCTTGCTTGTATTGTAGTAGCGATGAACAAATTGATTGATGAAGTTCAAGGCTCGAAAGTCGATCCGCGAATTATTGATTGAGCGTTCATGCTGATAACGTGTTGTAGAACAAATAATATAGAGAATCGAGAAATCAGTTTTATTCTCATTAATCATAAGCCCTTTAAATAAAGATGAGTTTCAAAGAGATAACCATAAGATACATAATAGTCGATGTTTTTTTCCAAATAAGAAAGTCGCTAATTTTCGTTAAAATATCATATGTGATATTGATCATAGTAAATTTAAGTGCAAAATAAGTGTAAGCTATCCACAACATCACATTTGATATTTGTAAATTTTATGAATTACGTTTCGATTCATATTTGATCTTATACATATTAAATATGTTATGTTAGGGGTGTGCATCAGTCGGGTTCTGGGGGCAAATCGAAAACCTTATCAGATTTCAAATATGAAAAAAAGACCAGAATTTTTTGCTTTCAAATTTTAGATTGCTTCCAGTCCAGGTATCATATAATGAAAAATGTATGTATATATATATATATATATATAGTCAATCGATTTTAAGAACAAATTCAATTGATTGAGAAAACTGATGAAATCGATATTAAGTTTAAAAATTAGAAAACATTTTGATGGACTAGGATTTAAGATTTTAAAAAGATAATTAGATAAATAAATATATTTATTATAACATTTAAAATATATATGTATATGTATATGTATTTTAAATCTTCCGAAGGGTCGGGTTGCCAAAGATTAAAGCCAAGACAACCCCAGATATCCTTCAATAGTCGGGTTTTGGATTTTCGAAATTCAGGTTTTGCATAGACATTTTATTTTCGGTTCGGGTTCGGATTCTGCACACCATTATATTATGCTACATATTACATGTGATTCTGTCTTCATTATTTACTTTTTTAGTCACTAATCTAAATCATTACATGTTTTAAATCAGATGTGATTAGAAAAAAGTTGAAATTTTTTTTGGAGAAAAAAATCAATTAATTATGAATCACATGTGATTTTGAGGATTTTTTTTTAAATTATTACCTTAAATTAACAATAGATCTTTAAATGAAAATTAAATCACGCTTATTATTTTATGCCTTAAATAGAAAATAAATTTTTTAATAAAAAATTAAATCACGTTTGAATGACAACAATGATAATAGGAAAAATCGTAAATAAATGTATTAAATAACTCTTATATAAATAAATGATTTTATGTTTTTATATATTCATTTTTAGAATTTTTATTTAAAACATTATTTTAATAAATTTTATATTTATTGTTTTATTATTATTATTTTTTGGAACGCAAAAGAGCACTTTGTTGAGAAAGAAAGAGGACTAGCGATGAGCTAGTTCCTAACAGAGTACACAACATCAACCGGATTACATATTCATCTCTCCCAACTAAAAGACTTAAGGGCCGTTTACTAAACACTTACTCGGATAAACGCTTACCAAGTCATATTATCTCACCGGATGAATATGGTAAGGATTAAGAATCTTATCCGATAAGAGTGAGACAAGGACCATGAGTCTTACCCGGTAAGTGAGGACGATCGATTCTTACCACGGTAAGCGCTTAACGGGTGAATTGTTGCATACAATGTCGTTTTGATGGACTAAAATCTTACCCGGTAAGTAATTAATAGTGTTAAATTTTACCCGTAAGCACTTATCAGGTAAGTGTTTGGTAAACGGCCCCTTACTAATTTCCCTCTACATCTTATCCAATCATACACCGTGAATTGAATATCTCTACAAGCTTCCTTATCAGATTTGCACTTACCGTTAAACAACTTTTGATTTCTTTGAGTCCAGATGTTCCAAAAAAAGGCAGCCATAATCACCTTGCCCACCTCTCTTCTACAGCTATTCCCAAACGAGCAGATCACCAACCACATATTACAAACCGAAGCAGCAGTCGCCGGCCACCAGTCCACCCAGGAAGCCAACAACGCATTAATAATCCTTGCTGTGGAGCATGTTATGAAGACATGATCCAAGTTCTCTGCCGTTACCATGCACGTTGGGCATTCGTCAGAGTTGAGCGCCATTTCTCGTTTCAGAAGATTATTCTTTGTTGCTAACCGATTGTTAAGCGTTTTATTTTTTTATTTAATTATTGTTCTCGTTTTAGTGATTTAAAATAAACTGAGATATATTTTCTCTTTAATTCATAAGATTTCCTTAAAAGTTGTAAATTATTGTAATTCTTTATGTAGCCAGCAATAATTATATTAGTCTCATGCAACTATCATCGCATATGTTGGTTTTTGTTGTGTTAGATTCTTGCACTCGACGAACAAACCTTTTCTATTCAAAGCAACAACTTTAAAAGGGAACATATAGAGAGAGATTGTTTCAAATACAACGCGTTGCATTTGTACAACTAATGCAATCCAATAAATTGAGATATTTATGGAAATGATGAGAATTCATTTATTATGATTTAAATATTTATGAAAGATGAATATGGTTCATTAATTATGATCAATACTTTATATTAGGAAACGATCAAAACTTCTATGAAATCACATATTAATCAAATAAAATGGACGGTTGAGATTGAGTTATATTGGTTACACAAATATCAAGGGTTGTAATAACCAGCCCCTCTCTCTCTCTCCCTCTCTCTCTCTCTCTCTCTCTATATATATATATATATTTCTAGCTTGTCTACCAAAACATACCATTACCAAATATAATAAGACTTACTCCCACTTGAACATAAACAAACACATAAGAACAAACATACTAAAAGTTACTCGGAGATGACTTCCTCTCAACCATTGCTGCAAAGCCATGGGAGTGTTCAAGAGCTTGCAAAGCAACTCAAATTGGCTGTCCCTGATCGCTACGTTCAAGAACATCAAGAACCCACCACCTTTGTATTTAACAGCTCTATCCCAGTGATTGACATGAACGATTTGATCAAGATACTAGAAACCGATATGGATCAACTGAAAAACCTGCAGTCTGTGTGTCATGAATGGGGAATATTTCAGGTTATATATATATATATACATCTCTATATGTATAGCTAAAACGTATGTTTGATCTCTATAGTTGTAAATAAGCAGAAATTGAATTGATTTATAGTTGGTCAATCATGGAGTCGACAAATTGTTGGTGGAGAACATGAAGAAGGAGATGGTAGAATTTTTCAAGATCCCGATAGAACAGAAGATGAAGTACAAGCTGAAGGGAGGCGAGTATGAAGGGTATGGTCAAACCATACTCCATGCTCAAGATCAGAAAGTTGATTGGGCTGATCGTTTCTTTATGATCACCAACCCTGTCCATAGGAGAAAATCCAACTTGCTTCCTGAGTTCCCTCCATCACTCAGGTCTCTCTCTCTCTCTCTCTATATATATATATATAACGTATGACTAAGTGTTTGATCTTTTAACAGAGATACTTTGGAGAACTACTTGCAAGAACTGCAAAAACTTGCAATGACACTATTCGTTTTAATCGGACAAGCAGTAGCTATCGATAAGCCAGAGATGTTAGAAACTTTCGAAGATGGGATGCAATCGGTGAGGATGACTTACTACCCTCCATGTCCACAACCAGATCTCGTTATCGGTCTCACACCTCACTCTGACGCTGCTGGAATCACCATTCTTCTTCAAGTTAACGACGTTGAAGGCTTGCAAGTTAAGAAAGACGGCGTATGGCTTCCCGTCAGCTTCCTTCCAGATGCTTTCGTCGTAAACGTTGGAGACATTCTTGAGGTTAGATCGATTTCCCTCACTACCATACCACCTGAAAACACAAGAAAACGACACAGTACTTACTTTGATGGGATTGGGACCTACAAAATGATTTGAAAAAAAGGGAAATGCATATAAATGGGTTTTTTATATGCAATTCTTAAACGTGGGTATACATTTGATTCGTATTATTTTAAAGATCAGATCACGTACTTACTTTATTGTTATGTCACCATCTCAAATATGTTAAATATATCATCCACTAGAAATGGGGTATAGTTATTGGGAACTAGGGTTTTCTTGTCTCCCATGTTTGACCATATATCATATATTATGTCTGTTATGTGTAAATTTTGAAGTCAAGGAATAAACGTGGTCCCGATTTACATGATTGCTACAAACTTATTGTAGAAATAAAACGTGGTACCACCATGGGGTGTGGCTTAATTTATCTGGTTTAGGTGCAACCAAATGATCGTATAAAATCACTTTGGCGTAACCGTAATTGCCATGCACGTTGACGTATGATGTCTCTAGATCATTCGTGATCGTCTAAGAAATTAACTAGTCGGTATGCATAAGTTGGTTCGGATACACTACACATGATTTACTCTTTAAATAGACTAGAAGTGTACGGTTCGCCTGATGCAATTTGATGCAAGTCAATATTCTGAAGTTGAGAACTCGAACGATTTATCTTGATTCATGATTTGTTCGGTCTGTCTTGTTTTTACTTTATAGTTTTGTATGGTTTTGAAAGAGTTAAGGTGTCTTCACTTGGTTATGATCTATATTATTAAGTATTTTTTCGTATTGGTAGGATTCAACGTTTTTCTGGTTTTTTTTTAAATATGTTTATAGATCAGTTGATTAAGAATTTGTTTCAGAAAAATTTAAAAACGTATATTTAGGAATAAAGTTGCATGGCTTTTGTCGTCTCTAAAAATCGATTTATCATCAAAAACAGTTTATAGAGATAACATGTCGTCGCAGTAGTTTTTTTGCTGAAACATGTTGTTGCTAAGGTGCGTCGTTGAAACTTACTTTTCTAGTGAGTGGATTAAATTAAAAAGAATATTTTTTAGTATATTGTTTTAAAAACTAATTATTTATTAAGATTATTTAGATAAAAAAAATAGATGAATTTATAAAGTTTATCGGTTAGTTTCTGGAGTTTTTAAAAGTTATAAGTAGACCATAATAATATGTAACATTGAACTTTAAAGATATTTGTAGCAGTAGACGTAATTCATGGATTGTTTTCATATTTTTTTAATTAATATATTTCAATAAGGTTTGTATATGGTTGAGTTCAAACGAGAATAGAGTTAAAAGTAAGAATATATGAGAACATTTATATCACATGTGATTACGGAACAATGCCATATAAGGGTGTGCGAAAGACTTGGTCCATGACTTCGGTCACGTCCAAAGTCGTTCGTGATCACATGTGAATTATGTATAAAATCACATGTTATATGTATGTATCTATATATATATATATATATATGCTATATTATAAAACATTTGACAAAAACTCTTAAAAACCATTTTTTATGCGTAAAGTACTGTTTATTAATGCATATTAATTACTTAAAATTCAAGATTGCAAGTAGATTGTGTGTAAGTACAACTTATTAAAGCTCCATATCTGAATTCGTGTAACTAACTGCAGATAAACATAATCAAATACATGATAAACATCTCATTTTAAATATAAAAAATCTAAAATATATTTAGGATAATCATTGAGTTCTAACAGAATACTTAATTATTATCTTTATAAAATGTTATATTATTAAACCAAAAATAAAGTATTTCGTTATTAAACTTAAATTAAATTATAATAAAAAATAAATTAAAGAAATTACATAAAAAATGTGAACTTTTAAATAGTTGATTTGATATTAACATTGATGTATTTTTTTTCAAAATTTTATAATATCTTCAAATTTATATTTTATTCAAAAATATAACCATTATTGCTTTCTTAAAAATACATAAAATCGTATTATAACATCCACAGAGACAAATAATAAAATAGAACATTAAAATCAAGATATATCTCGCTGCATTGCGCGAGTACTCTTCTAATATATATATATATATATATATATATATATATACTTGGGATCACGTGAGACCAACCTGTTTTCGTGAGACCCATGAGACCAGCTTTTTACACTTGAAACTTCACAGCAAAAAGCTGTGAAGGTAACCTTCACAGTTTTTTTGCTGTGAAGGTTCGACTTTTTTAAACCTTCACAGTGTTTTTGCTGTGAAGTTTCAAGTGTAAAAATATGGTTTCACGGGTCTCACGAAAACATGCTAGTCTCACGTGAACCCAACCCTCTATATATATATATATGTATATATATATATATACACACACTATTGGGTTTCTGTGAGAAATCAATAACATTTTCTATAAGAAATGTGAGAAATGAAACATTCATATAATATAAGGTAAAATTCGCATAATATATAATCTTATGTTGTGTAAAGTGTGTGGAGGTGACCACCTTCACAGAAACCAGTGAAGGTAGACATTTCAACTGATGTGATCTCAAATCTGTATATAGATGTGTTGTGCATCAAAGTTTAGTGTCTTTGAAATTTTCAGATTCACAAACCGTAGATATATAGCTATAGCAACCAACAGAAGGATCCACTGTCATGCTTGCATATATTATTAATCTCAAAACATTTATAAAATGGATTTGCAGATAATGAGCAATGGTGCATACAACAGCATTGAGCATAGAGTGACTGTTAATGGAACCAAAGAGAGGATTTCTTTAGCCATGTTCTTCAATCCAAAGCTTGAAGCAGAAGTTGGACCTGCAAAGAGCTTCCTGAAGAACACAGGAAAGCCACCGCTGTATAGAACTCTGGTAATGGAACAGTACCTCAAGGAATTCTTCTCCCGCAAGCTCAATGGAAAGACATTTCTCGAAAAAATGAAGATCAAAAATGGTGAAACATGATCAAATATCCAATTAGTTTGTCGATCCGATAATATATATATATATATATATATATAATTATGACATTACTAAAGTAAAATAAATTGAATGACACGTACATATAGTTTGTATAGTAAATTATGAACTCCCCGCGTTTATGTTCATGTTATTCATCTATCTAAATCTCAAACTTCAGTTGCTTATGCTATTAATTATCTTCCCTTGTTTTTTAAACTACAAATATATTAATTATGATTTTGAAGTCTATATTTAATATGTATTGTTGTTTGTTTGAATCTTAAACTCTATTTGTATGTGTTATTTTCGTTGTTTTATGACATTTTTGTAAGTATGTACGAATGTCGTGGGGATATTAATTTTACACGGTAAACCCTAGGTGGTCCACATAGACTTTTGGGGGTGTTCGTGGTCCAGTTTGGGCGGTTTAACCCCTCAGACCACAAACCAAACTGTAATAGTGGTTTATAAAATTTTCAAAACCGAGCGGTTTGAGATCAAGTGTGCAGACCGGTCAAACCAGACCACAAAAAGGCGGTCTGGTCTGACCGGTTTAGGCGGTTTGGGCCTTTAATGGACTTTAGATATTAAACTTAAAAAACGTATATAATTTAGAATTTTAGATTAAATATTCATTTTAACAAAACCAAATATCCAAACAAATATATGTAATAATTAAACAGCTCTTGAGTCCAAAATCCAAACAATCCAAAGTACAAACAAATAAATATATAATAGGGCAAATTGCATGAAAAAGTAACGTAATTTAACTTGATTCCTATTTTGGGTAACGTACTTTCAAAACTTCCGTTTTGGTACCTAAAATGTAAAGTTTTAAACATTTAAGTACCCGGGTAACTGGTTGAAGTATTAACCGGTTATCATACTGATGTGGCTAGTGATGTGGTATCCAACTCGGTATTATTTGTTGACCTAGTCAGTGACGTGGAATTTTTTTAATCTAAAATTAGTCTTTTTTTTAGTCTAAAATTAGTCTTCACTGGTTACCCGGGTACTTAAATTTAAAACTTTACATCTTAGGTACCAAAATGTAAGTTTTGAAAGTACGTTACCCAAAATAGGAATCAAGTTAAAGTATGTTACTTTTTCATGCAATTTGCCCTATGTAATACATATTAGAAAACAAACAAATTAACAAAGTTACAATTCCACTTCCACTGTGAGTATTGAGTAACAAAATCCACGACTTTACAACCTTCAATTCTTGACTAAACATAATAAAAGAGAAATCTTAGTTGGTTGAATCACTTGGTTCATGCCTTGATAATATGCGCCGAAATCAAACCATGAACTAGGAAAATATCGATAGATTGGTAGAGTTGTTAAGGGATTTCAAAATTTGGAGACCATCAATGTCAAATGTGTCGATATGTTTATTGGTTTAGGGGTTTTTAGGCGGCGATTCATTTGGATTTGATTATGTTAGATGTTAGGCTTTATGTTGGGCTTAGAGATATATTTGGATCGTAGCCCATACGTTAAAAAAGTTGAGATTGGTAATACTAAAATAAATAAATATGTATTTGGCGGTCGGTTTGGCCCAAACCGCGTAAAAAAAGTTTCAGACCGCAAACCAGACCGGACCGCCCGGTTTTGCTATTTTCCAAACCAAACCAAACCGCCAAACCACTCAAACCGCTAAAAACGGTCCGGTTTGAACGGTCCAATGGTTTTTTTGAACACCCCTATAGACTCTATACTATAATATAACAAAACAAGAAATAGAAATTGTGTGAGTAAAAAGACAAAAATGTCCATGCATCAAATGAGTTAACATAATGGTTTAAAACGTGTAAATCACATGGATTAAACGTGCCATTCTGTTGAATAATACATATAAAATCTTCTTCTTTTTTGATGTAACAACTTTGTTGAGCAAATTTAGTTTATTCCAACTGTATCCCATAAATGCAACCTACCATTCGTTGTTAAATTACATTCTTTTCAATGGTTGATTTATTACATATCTCGAATCCGTTTTTTCATCTTTTTAAGCTTCTTCATATGAAATTGGATGATCTTTCACTACCAAATTGGTCAACATTTTAGGCGACCCTATCTATCGGAAATCTGCCGGAAAACAGAGGTTCCGGTGGATAAGTCCGCCTTAGAATGAGGCACCGGTGATTAATTTTTCGATGGATTTACCGGTGGATTTTTTTTGGTTTTCTGGTGGAAAATGGCCATCGGAAATTTTCCCCCTGTCTGTTTTAAAAATATTGATTAAATTAAGAAAATATTAACGAGTTTTTTTTTATTAATAAAAATGAATTAAATTACCGGCAGATATATCTGCCGGAAATCCGTCCTGCCAGAATTTTAAATTTATTTTTATAATAATTACTTTTATTCTTTAAATATTTCCGACGGATATATCCGTAGGTAATCCGTCAGAAATTTATTTTAAATTTTTTAAGATTATTATTTTTATTCGTTAAATATTTCCGGCGGATCTATCCGCCGGAAATTTATTTCATATTTTTTCAAAATTATTATTTTTAAAATAATTTTCCAGTAAATATTTAAAACATGTAAATATGTAAATATTAAAAAAACTAAAAAGATGAAATGCCGCTAAATACCATACATTAAACTAAACAACAATTATCCTGACTAATTTAAAGTAGCACATAATTGTTCCAAACAAATGGATATTCAATACGGTGGCGGCAGGGGGGGGATGCTGAGATTGATTGAGCTGTCTGACTAATGCAACAATATTTTCAAGTTGTTTATCCCGTTTCTCATCCAACACTTACTAACACTCCTCCTCCTCTGCCCGTCGTCGGTCCTCCTCCGCCCTAAAACGCTGATTTTCTTCTTGTAAATCTCTAACTTCGGTCCATAAGGCTTCAATTTCCTATAACATAAAGAAAACGTTATAATATTTAATATGAATTATAAACTAAATCGATAAACATCATCAAAGGAAAAGAGGCACACACTCAACTCTTTCAAAATGATGGACCACCCTGTGTGTAGTTCCTAATCAAGACCCTTGGGATCCTGGTTGTACCTAAACCCAAATAAACGATCTTTCTTGCTTTCCCAACCGCCTGCTCCCACAACTCTATATCAACTTAGGGATAAGTGGAGGGATCATTGTCATATCTTTGTGTGAGACCCATTGAATAGTCATCCTATATATAGTTTAAAAAGGATTACAAGTCAATTTTGACAGCATGACGGCTGTAAATGAGACGCTTCCAGCCAAAACAATAGTGATACATACGAAATTGGTAACCAAAACGATCCTAATGTTTGCCCAACAAATGACAACCTGAACTAAATAGTGATACATACGAAATTTCTAACTTAAACAATCTTAATGTTCTCCCAACAAATGGCAACCCAAACTATATATATATATATATATATATACACACACACACACACACACACTTAGATTTTAATTTAAACGACTCGAACGTTTACCCAACAATTAATGGCAACCCAAACTAGATAGATAGTTATGTACCAAATTATAAACATTAAAATAGATAGATACCTACCATGACCTGGCTACACTTAGAGGTTACGTACCCCACAAAATCTGTAGATGCAGCCTCTCCACTCAACCTCTTCTTATATGTATAATCGAACAATTACACAACGGTCGATGGCATGCCGTCTTTTGCTTGTGTCTACAAAGGTCAAATAATACGAAAATGTGTTAATTATAACATATTAAAAATCAAGCTACTAAAGTAATGGGTTTTAGGTCCTACCACACGAGCACCATACTCCGAAGATGGGATAGTACCAACGGTGTGTAGCGCAACTTGGCTATAACAGTTCTCACGCGCCATACCGAAAACAACCTTCCAATTGTCAATGTTCCAACGATCGACCATCAGGCTCCACACATCTGAAGAGATCCAACGGGGGAGTTCTTCAACACACGCAGGTCCAGTGTAGGTCGGTTTCATTGTATTGAGGATACCCATTCCTCTTTGCTTTTTCTCCAGCTTTCTTCCTCGCGGCATTCAAGTTGTCATTATATGACTTGATCGACTTTCTCTTCCATGTCTCTAGAATCTAGGCATCCAAAGCCGAATCCCAAGTGTAGTAGCACTGTACGTAAAAGTTTAGTCGATTCTTAGGTTCAAAAAAATAGCAAAAATATAACAAGTTTAATATATACCATGAACCTGGAACCGCTCCCACATTCGACGTCTCACGTCCCTTAGGATTTTTCCCCAAGTAATCTATGGGCCGTCAAGCAGCTCTCGGTTGATCTTGGTGATACGACGGATCACTCTGGTGTCACTAAAACTATATAAATAATAAGTTGAATTAACATCAATACAAAGAACAATTATTTTTATCAATTAAAAGATATAAATGTATTTACTCTTTGCCGCAGCTGCCAATAATCGTCCATTGTTGTCTAAGCAGCTCCGGAGCACGCTACCACAACCAAACTCTATCTCCTCCGGGTGAGGCGAAGCACTACTAGAGGCATTACCCATACCGCGACTAGGTGTACTGCCACTACCTCGACCGGTAATCCGAGTACGCGACATTGTCGATTTTTCTACAAAGCAATGTTAGAAAACATAAAACAATAATTCAAGTGTAAGATTCCACACAATAACAGATGTTGAACAGTAGTTTACTAAAATTTATAACATGGAAACAATAAATATTTAAAACTACTAGACAAAGTTTACTAATACTAAAATTAACATAATATTTAATCATCTGAGGAATGATCAGACAAGTCAAATTCTTCGTCGTTAGAGTCACTATCTGCCGGAAATTCGTCGGAAATAGTGCCAGAATATAATTATCGATGGTTTTCCGGAATCAACATCCCATACATTCACCCCAATAGCTTACTCTGTAGCTCCTGGCTTACTCGGACCGCGTCCACAACAAGTATATACTACAAGATAACCTTCATGTGTTCCTATCGATATCAAATGGCACTCCATACGTTATTCTTAAACCCCCCTGGATGAAACCTGGTACATGGATAC